TGATCCTTTCTCATTACACTGTGTGCATTTCAGTGGCCAGGCTTGGGAGTCATTAGGATCTGGCTCCCATCTTGAGATGGGTGCTGCAGTGCATTTGGGGTCAAGACAAGCCACACTAATCCAAGCTTAGCCCCTCCTCGGTGTCCTCTCTGGCCCTGGTGCAGAATGCAAACTTAGGTAGCTGATCACATGCTGCCTGCCTAGGCCCCGTACTTGCCATCCTCATGTTCGAGCTTCATGGTGTATGTGCAACTCAGTGGACTTGTTAGTTAAAAGGAACCAAATATTCTCACCAATATTCCAGACATTTCATTTGTCCTCGGCCTAGCCTACAGAAGCTGACATACTGACCCGCGTCCTGCCAGACTGTGCTGTCCCAGGTCACGGATGCCCCCGAGAAGCTTATCATCTGGAGGAACAGACACAGAAGGTGTACTGTGCAGTCAGCCTGGCTCTCAGAGGGAAACTGGCAGGATGGAGCAAGGCTGTGAACCCTCAGTGTCTCCTTCCAGGCTCACAAATCAGATTAAAATATTCTTTCTCTCCAGGAGAAAACTCTGTGACTTGCAAAGAGAGGCCAGGAGTGTTAGGCTAATGGACATCCCTTCATATGGAGGCGGGAAGAGTTCCATCCTCCCCAGCACAGTTAAAAAGTGCATCCCTGCAGGCAAATGTTTGATCAGATGTGCTGTGTTACCTGCAGCTCCTTTGATGCAGTTAATGCTCTTGCAAGAAACCATTGAGTGGATAGGGCAGCTTTTTCAGTAAGTGGAGAAGTTCCAGTATTAAACAAATCAGCAAGAAATGAAGAACAGTAAAGGCTGCCAGTTGAGTTTAATTCTAAGAACCCCACAAAATGCGTTCTTGGATGCTTTTGCCTGTTAGCCTTTAGTAAATGAAAAAGAATAGAATGAGTCTCTCTCATGTATTGGAAGAAAAGAACAAGAGGTTTAGAGAGAGACAAACCTGGGTTTTGAATTCTGGCCCTACCTCTTACTGTCTGTGCCACCATGGGCACGACATCTCACTGCTCTCAGCCTTACTTTGAAGAAATGTACGTACAGCACCCAATCCAGCATCTCTTACGTAGTAGGCATCCATTCCTAGTAGTTAGCGCCACCTTCTCTGCTGCAGAGAGAAACTGCTCCGCCTGCACCCTGCTCGTGTAGGGGCAGGAACTGTGGGAGCAGCCTTTGCTGCAGGTCTCTCTTGCCACGTCACATGGCAAGATGGCGCGGAAGACTTCACCTGAGCAGCTGCTCATGCAGGGAGCCAAGCCATGCCTCTTTTCTTTCTCAACACAGGTTGGAGCACAGTGACTGGGACTCTGCCCGGTCTCCCATCATTGGCTCCTGCGGCAGTCAGGAGCACGCACTGTTAATAGATCTCACGAGCAGCACCTGTCGAAGGGTAAGAAGGGGAGAAGCGTGAAGAGAGGAGACTGTACTGTCGCATAGGGCTGGCTGCATCGAGGGCAGGGGGTCAAGGAAAAGGAAGGAGGAAGTCCAGGCACTGATGGATCTCAGAGTTGGAGGAACCTAGTGGAGCTGGCCAAGTGACCCTGAGGGGGACTTTCTCTCGGGATACCTCTTTCCTACAGTGTTTGGAGAAGGGAAAGGGACATATCCCTGTAGGGTAAAACTCTCTGACTTTCAAATTTTTCTTTCAGACCCGGAGTGGTGCTGGATGGAAGCGGGCCCTGCGTTCACTCTGTCATTCCCGGACCCGAGTGCCACTGCTAGCCGCCATCTACTTCCTGATGGTTCACGTCCTGCTCATTCTATGTTTCACAGGCCATCTATAAACTGAATTCTCACCTTTTCGACCACTCCCCTCAGAACTTGGAATTCCCTCATCTCTAACATCAAAACCATCGATTGTAGTGGGACAGTCTTCCCACTTACAGGTCCTCTCTCCAACTCTCCACAGAAAGTGCCTGCACAAACAGAGGTGGATGTGAGCCCAGGGCGGAGCTGCAGGGACCAGCGAGTCTCCTTTCTTCTACTGCCCGGGGCCCGAACACTTGTGCATAATCTGAGGAGGCCGCACAGTTGCTCGCTGAGCCTGGGATTTGTTCACATTTTCCAGGGCCCTGATTCTTTGTGGTCCTGTGGAAAATGCTGAGGACTGTCTCAGCTGAGAAGATGGTTCTAATAAACCTAATAATCTGTAGTCCAGTATCATTTCAATTGATACTTTCTTTGCCTCATTTACCTTACATTTCCTCCTGCTTCAGAGGGAAGGTAGACCTGCCATAAACGAAGTTCTGGGGAACAGGATCTCATAGAGTAGCTGATTAGGTCTCCTGCAAAATAGGGTGGGAGCTGAACAACTCTCCGGGGGTTTTGGCTGCCGGATCACAGGGTCGGACAGCGTCTCCTTCCCTGGCTGTTCATACATCACTGGAGTTAGATTTGTGGTCCTGGACTATAAGGATAGGATCCTATTGTGTATGCCCTTGATCCCATGTATCCTGAGGTAGTAAATGGCCCGTGCCTTTCCCTTCATTGAAAGGAAGAACTGGCTATGGATGGTGGGAATCAGATTCTTGTCATTCCTGTGTTGTCTGGGCATGCCTCGAATGCCGGCCCTGAAGCAGTATACTCAGAGCTAGTCCTGGGTGAGACACTGACTACCACTGGGGGGATCTGACTGGCCTGATGACCACGCCTGGCTTCTGGAGATACCCAGCTACTCTGCTACTCGTGACAGTTATTCCAGTTTCTCAGCCCATAGTCATCCCTCTATGTAACAGAGCTGAGGCAAGTGGAGGGTGAATATAGAGAAGACAGCATTTCTAAACCTAAGCTGAGAATGGCAGCCAGGATTGAATTCCATTTATGCCTGTTCCTCGCCTCCCCTTCCCCCACCCTTACCTGCTGGTTATTTTCTCATGCACATGGTGTGTTCCCTGCCTGCTCTTATCACCCAAAGAAGAGAAAACTGGTGGACTGATTGATCTGCTGTGGTCCTTTGTTCTGCAGTGACCAAATCTTGGTCATAGCAACCCAGGAATTTTCCTGAACAACTGTAAAATAATAAAATAATTTTCAGACTCAAAAATTGTGGTATGTACATGTGTATGAATGGATGTATACACGGGTGCTTATGTTCAAGTGCTTGCATGCTGGAGAAGAAAGGTAGATAGGGGAAGGGGGGTGGGGCAGCCAGGAATGGATTCAGGGTTAGTAAACTCTACCTATTCAGGCTTCCTTCTCCCTGGCCAGTACCAGTTAATGGCTGCATGTGTCATTCTAAGTCTTAGCCCCTAGACCGGGGTGATGAAGTGGAATGAGGAAATTCATTCTAATACTGAGCCAAACAAACTAGGCCTTAGGGCCTGAGATTGATGCTGTTCATGCCTGGCCCTTAGAGAATGCTTATCTGTGTATACTGAAAACATTAGGCCCCTAAGGATCCCTCTGGGTGGGAGTGGGGGGAGGGAAGTCTAATAGGGTATAGCAGAATAAACATCACTGTTATTTTTATATTCAGTTGCTGCTTAGGAAAAGCTAACTTACTTTATCAAAGTATAGTAAGTGAATTGAACTAAGGTTTTCTGGCTTCAAAGCCCATGCTATTTCTATGTTGTACACCTCGCTGTCTCATTAGAAATGAACATGGGACATTTGCTAAGGAAAGCTAGGGTTTCTTGGTGTCATCTCTGATTAAATTCTATGGTTTCTCTAGAGAATTGTATCTGGTTGGTGTGTCACAGTATCTGGTCTGATCATTCCCATTTTTGACACCGAATTAGGATTCCAAATGATCTAAAAATCTTTCCCCCCTCAAATTTACTGTTCCTTAAAATAATTGTGGTACTGCCATAAGTAGGTCATGAAGTAGGAAAGGTGAGTAAAGACACTACTACTGCCCCCGCCCCCCACCAAACTGGCAGAGAATCCTTAAGAAGTGACTAAAGTCTTATTTCTAATGCAGAAATTACTTCTGCTGTATCTTAGACCACTTTTATCTAGTCTCTGCTTGAGTCCATTGGGGAAGTTAAAACTGAGCAAATTAGGTCAGAACTATACATCATCAGGCTTAGATTAGACTAGGTCAGATACGGTAAAAAACACTCCCAATTTTTAGTAGCTAAAACAGCAAAGATTACTGTTTAGTCTGCTTGTGTTGTCATCATTCTCAGTTGGGGACCCTGTCACTTGGTGACCCAGGCTGCCAGAGGAGCCATTCAAGAACAGCAGTTTGCCTTGGTGAACAGTGGGCCAAAGAGCATGACAAAGCTTGCACTGATCTTAAAGTCTCCACCAGAAAGTGATGTATTTCACTTCTCACATTTAATTGGCCAGAGTAAGTCACCTGAGCAAGTCTGACTTCAAGAGGGAAGGGAGGGGCAGCAAATCTTGATGAACAGCAATACCAAATGCCACAAAGACCTTCCAACATGTGGTACTATCTAGTTCTTCCAGACTTTCTTCTGCTAACTGGAACCAGATCTTTCTACTGGTTAGCTCAGATTCCTCACTATCCCCTAAACAATCTGAAAATTTCTCTCTCCATGTCTTCCCTTTCCCCTGCGACTTACTGTCTTCCACCATTCAACTGATCAATGTTTATTTGACTGTTGTATGCAAATCCCGGTTTTAAGTGCTATGGGTAATGTAGAAGTGAGTTTCTTTTTAAATCTTACCCTTCAAAATCCGCATAAAAATCACTTCTCCCATTAAGCCTTTCTTGATTACTTCACCCCACACCAAATTACTTTCACCACAAATTCCTTTACCGTACCGCATGTAACTGCCACCTATTTCGGACATGAATGCTGCTCTGCGCCTTCTTTTCTGTGTTTTCTGGTTGAATGTTTTGCTTGCCCGACCAGATATAAACTCTAAGAGTAAGAGCAGCATTTTTATAACTTCCCCGTGACTCTCAGAGCCTTGCAAAAGATTAGGCACAGAAGCATTTAATCCTTTTTTTTTTTTTTAAGTGCCTAAGCAGAAGGAACTGACTCAAACTTCAGGAAGTAGCTGTGAGGACAGGGTATCAGGAAATGACAGAAAACCTGAATACGGAACTGAAGCAGCAGCTCAGAGTCTCTCGCTCTGAAGTGGCAGCACAGAGTGGGAGCCCAGTGACGACGTGAAAAGCTGGGAGCTTAGAGCAGACACTCGCACTACTGGAGGTGGGTACTCTGAGCAGTGGGAAAGTCAGGGAGCGCAGGGCAAGAGCTGAATTAAGAGGAACCTACCTGGCTCTTAGTCCTCCGTGAGAGATGAAGTCCTTGCTAATAGGCTCTTAAGCTTTTATGGCCAGAGGCCTGGCGGTGAGTGGTTGTGGGTAATGAGCATCTGGGGATGGAAATGGAAATGAGGGTCTGGAGCCCAGGGCACAGGATTCAGCAGCCATTCAGGACCCCTAGTTTCTGCTGACAATCTACAACCCCCTCCTAAAGCCTGTTGCTCCTAGGCACTGAGATGGGAGGAGGACCACAGGAGATGAAGACAGAGTCTCTGTCCTTGGAGAACACAGGGTCTAGCAGAGAGACAAACTCACTAGGAGACATTGTGACAGAGCAGGAAGTAGTTGCTTCTGTGCACCAGTGCTGAGTGCCAGGGCAGATGGGAGGCCCAGTGAAGGCATGATGGTTGGATGAGGGCTAGCTTCTGTGACTGTAGGATCACATAATCCCAGAATGTCAGAAATGAAGGGGACTGGGTGGATTAGCTAGGTTAACCTCTTCATTTATTTTCCACTGGGGAAAACTGAGCATCCAAGTTGTTCAATGATTTACCAAATTAGCATTTTAAATTGCCTTCCCTGGTACCTGACAAGTAAGTACATACCTTATGTTGATTCCCTTACCCCTGTTACCACAGGGGCTTAGTAACAGAGCTGTGGTGACCTTCTGACTCAAGGTCCATGTACTTTACTGACGCTGTAGGGCAGCCTTGTGATGAGGCCCTTGATTGTGCCTGCAGTCCTGGGCACCGTTGCTCACCAACTTATTCCCCAGTCTCCTACTGCTAATAGCACCTCTCGCTTTCCTATAGCCAGTAGCTCAAGGACACCAAATAGTCTCTGTATCAGAAACTTCCCTTTATTTCAAAAATACATGAGGATGGGAGGTTTTTTTGGGTGAGTTAGGCTGAGGCCTCAGAGGATCAGCAGGAAAGAGGAGAAGACCATCAGTCCTCGTTGCTTCCTTTTTGGTCATGAATATTTCAGAAACTTCTCCTTTCCAGTTTTCTGTGTGAAGTCATTTTGTCAAAAAGCAGCCCAGAAGCCAGGACCATAGGCCTTCTCTACCTGCTCTCCCATCCATAATTGTTGCCCCACAGGGGAAGGCAGAGCTGTTTTGGGCAGGGACTCATCCCACAGTGTAGCTGATTCAGTCGATACTTCTCCACTGTCCTCTTTGCATCTTTTTAATCAACCTTCCCCCTAATTTCCCTGGGCTAGTTTCCAAGGGGATTCTCTTTCTTTTTTTTAAAAAAGATTTTATTTATTTATTTGAGAGAGAAAGAGAGGGAGAGCACAAGCAGGGGGAGAGGCAGAGGGAGGAGAAGCAGGCTCCCCATTGAGCAGGGAGCCCGATGTGAGACTTGATCCCAGGGCCGTGAGATCATGACCTGAGCCGAAGGCAGACGCTTAACCGACTGAGCCACCCAGGCACCCCTCCAAGGGGTTTTCAAAGAGAGTGGAGAAAGATGGAGTTTTCATGTAGAAAGGAAAATCGGAGACTCCGAGGGCCTGTATGGAGACACCATGGAGTCCTAGGAGCAGTTAAGAGGAACTCATTTAGAAGACAGTAAAAGAGCATAGGAAAAGACACCAGTGGAATGAGGAGTCCAGGGAAGGATCAGTAGGGGAGTTGCCAGCTAGCAAGTGGTATCAGGGTCCCCCAAGCAGATAAGCATTATCCATTGTTTCCTCTTCACGCGGAGATCCAGGATCCCACAGATGCAGAGCAACTTGCTGCTCCTCATGCATAATTGGCAGGGCCAATGGAAACACTGGGGATGCCACAGTAGAATAACAATTTGGCTCCCCTTCATACTAGTGTTCTCTAAATATTTCTTTATTGTTTGCTTAGTTAATAAAAATCTAATAACTCCTAATGTTCAAAATAAGGGATTCATTACATGTTATCTTTTGAACCAGCTATCTTCCTTAGAAATATAATTGCACTGTTTTTAAAAATTAAAGAATAGGTGATTCATTCCCAGCAAATAATGCTTCCCTATGTGTTATTCAGGATAGGAGTCTCAGCTGACTGCCCTACTGACCTCATGCACCTGTTCAGTAGCTGCTCTTAGAGTGGAGATGGGACAGCAACTTGCACTGGAGTTGGGATTTTCTTGGTAGAATTATGCAGGTTGTAGAGAGGAGGGTAGGTTTTCACTTTATTCAGAGCTGGACCAATACACATTTCAACAGCTGTAACAGGAGTCATGAACAGAAACCTGAGTGGGATGGTGCTATAATTCTAGGGTTGCCCTAGTACCCGTCATTGATTGCCACTTCAAGCCACTGCCCAACTAGCCTTGGGACACAAATGAATGATCCCCGCGCTTTATTTAACATTAAAGGTTATTTAACATTACCTACATTACCAACATTTAACATTACCTATACCCAGACTCAGTAGGCTTAGGCCATGTTAGTTTAGCTTGAATAAATCCTCCTCCCCACTCCTGTAACTAAGCAAAAGTATTTTCCTAAAACTTACATCTGCTTTGCCTCAGCTTCTATTTTATTCTAAGAAAAAATACAAAACTACTGGACTGCTGTATCATTGACTTCAGCATTCTTGTTTTCCCTCTTCTTGATTTTCTCCTCCTAATTATTCCCATCTCTGTCACCCTCAGATGTGGAAGTCTGTAGTAGGGCATGATGTATCTGTTTCTGTGGAGACCCAGGGTGATGACTGGGACACAGACCCTGACTTTGTGGTGAGTTTGGGAATAGCTTTGCTTGGAAAATCAATAAAAGGTTTAAGTGGGGGGATGAGGGAAGGGCATCTGGGCCACTCTGTCATCTTTGAGGGGGTTTAGAAAGGACAATCTGGGACTGAAATAGCCCTAATGGTAGAACTGACTGGTAGGACAGTTGGCTGTCATGAGTGGGGCATGCATGATAGTTGATGTTGAGGATGGAAGGGGACGGGGCAGAGGTGTTTGACATTGTGACTGAGGGGCTATTACAAGTATGGTGAAGGTGAGGTTATCAACAGGCAGGTTAACCTGGGTCTCCTTTGGCCTGTGAGCCAGGATGTGAGCTAGACCCGTGTAATTTGTGGGGATTCAGTAGTTGTAGAAGACCTGAAGGGAGGTTTCGGAGCCCAGCAGTTTAATGTTCACATGGTGGGGGGCAGGGTCGGGTAAATAGAGGGAGGAGTCTGAGTAAAGATCCTGAGTAAAGACCCTAACTTTACTTTTACAAAAAGTAAAAAGGAGGCAGGAGATGCAGGAGACCTGGAGGGCATGTGCGCCAGCTGCATGGCCTCTCTTCATGTGGCACATCTCTTGCCATCACTTATTGCTCAATGTTGTCTTTTGCAGAATGACATCTCTGAGAAGGAGCAACGGTGGGGAGCCAAGACCATTGAGGGCTCTGGACGCACAGAGCATATCAAGTAGGTGCCAAAAAGACTGGGGAATGGGAAAAGGGTGTGGGAGGAGCCTGAGGAAAACTTGGAAACTCAGGGGAAGGTGAGGGAAGAAGGAGGAGAGGAGGGAGTTAATGTCTATGTGTCTTTGTGTTTGTTGTTTCTCAAATCTGTCCCTGTGTGTCTCTATGTGTATCATTGTGTATTTCTGTTTCATGTCTCTCCTCTTATCCCCTCAACCTTATTCTCTCTCTTATTTCTGACAACTATGCTATTTTCCCAGTGGGTCTATTATAAGAGATTCCGAGAGGAAGTGGCTCATATACTGAGGTTGTGTCACTTTATATCAACATAAATATGTGTCTAGAATGTAGGTGACTTCAGATGGGACAAGAAGGATTCAGTAAAACATCAAGGTAAATAACTCAGAATAAATATTGTAAGAAGAGGACAATATTAGGTCCCATAGCTGGCCTGGATGATTTTTAAAATAAAAATTTGTATTTGGCTACTTGACAGAAGCTGGAAACCATGAAAGGTAATATGAAGAAATGTCACACTTGGAAAACCTGTTGATTAAAACTATTTTAGTAATGGTGTTTAGGGGTCTTAAAAGTCATAACCTAATATTTTATCAGAAATAAAAGCAAACCATGGAGTGCCTGGGTGGCTCAGTCATTAAGTGGCTGCCTTCGGCTCTGGTCATGATCCCAGGGTCCTGGGATCGAGCCCCGCATCGGGCTCCCTGCTCCGTGGGAAGCCTGCTTCTCCCTCCCCACTCCCCCTGCTTGTGTTCCTGCTCTCGCTGTGTCTCTCTCTGTCAAATAAATAAATAAAATTAAAAAAAAAAAAGAAATAAAAGCAAACCAACAAAACACTCGTACTGTAAGAGAGAAGGAACTTTAGACATATCCAAGGGTTTCTGTGGTATATATTGTATATTCACATCGAAAGATTCCCTCTTTTCCTCCATGGATTGTTCAGGATCATCTAACCAGGGCTGTCTGCTTTGGATTGTATCAGAATGTCAAAGGTAGACACAATCAGCAGCATAACAAGAGCAAAAACAAAAAAGCAAAAATTAACAATTACACACAAATTGACAAAATTAATATAGCTTAAAACTCCATTTTAACTACCCACACACACTCTAACAGTGTTTTTACCTCTTTTCCCCCTAGATTTTAAAGTGTCAATGGATGACCACATTGCACAAACAATGCACTATGAAAACTTGGCATATGTTTATATAATTTGATAATATTCAATACTATGCATTGTTGTTTGATCAGACATAATGATTTATCTTATGTAAATGTAATGAATATTGTTCTTTTTTTTTTTAAAGATTTTATTTATTTATTTGAGACAGAGAGAATGAGAGAGACAGAGAGCACATGAGAGG